AGTTTCCTTCCCGAAAGGACGTTAGTGAACCAAATAGATTTATCCGACAAGCAACAATGGGTTCGTAGTCATCATTAGATTCTTAATTTCAGATATTTTATTGAATTCAAATTCTATCATCTACCATGGTGGGATTTGAGCCCGGGTCCCCGGGATGTTGTCTATGTCTCTGGATTAAAAGTCCAAAGATAATACCACTAGGCCATTGCCTCCCCAACATTTGAAATTTCAGTGGGGGAAGCATTTTAGGAACAGTGATCATAATTCCATAGGTTTTAACATAGTTATGGATAAGGTTAAGATGATCCTTGGGTGAAAGTGCTAAGTTAAGGAAATGCTAATTACAACAGTATTAAGCAGGAACAGGAGAAGTTAGATTGGGGTGCTGTTTGTTTGCAAATGCACATCTGACATGCGGGAGTTTTTTTTAAAAGTCAGTTGATCAGAGTTCAGGACCATCATGTTTTTGTGAAGTTGAAAGATAAGGATACAAAATTCAGGAACCCTGGATGACAGCAATATTGAAAGTTTAGTCAAAAAGTAAAAGGAAATATACGAAAGGTTTTGTAAACTGAAATCATACAAGGCCCTTAAGGAATATGAAAGGAACAAGAAAGGACTTAAAAAGAAATTAGTAGGGCTAAAAGGGACCATAAAATGCCCTTATCAAGTAAGATTCAGGAGAATCTCAAAGTATTTTATGAGGGTAGCTCGGGAAAGCGTAGGTCCACTCAAGGACAAAGGAGGGAATTTATGCATGAGGCCAGAGGAAGTAGGTGAGGTTATTAATGAGTATCTTGCATCAGTATTCACCAAGGAGAAGGACAAATGATGATAAGATAAGGGGGAATGTGTTGATATTCAATGGCATGTGAGGTATTTAAGTTTCCAGGGCCCGATGGGATGTATCCAAGGACGCTGAGCGAGCCAAGGGATGAGATTGCTGGGGCCATGATAGATGTCTTTTGAGTGCTCTTTAGTCACAGGTGAGGTCCCTGGACACTGAAGAATAGCCAGTGTTGTTTCTTTCTTTAATACGGGCGACAGGGATAATCCAGGAAATTACAGTTGGTGAATCTTATATCTTTGGTAGGGAAGTTATTGGAGAAGATTCTTAAGGACTGGATTTACTTGCAATTGGAAAATAATGAACTTATTAGGGATAATCAGCAGGTCTGTGCAGGGGAGGTCTTTTCTCACAAATTTGATTGAGTTTGAGAGGAAGTGACAGTGAGAAATATTGTTAAATGATGCAATAGGATATAGATCAATTGGAAAGTTGGACGGAGAAATGGCAGATGGGTTTAATTCAGACAAGTGTGAGGTGGTGTGTTTTAGGAAGTCAAATCAAGATGAAAGTATACTGTAAATGGCTGGACCCTTAGGAGGATTGATCTTGGGGTGCAAGTCCATAGTTCCCTGAAAGTGTCAATACACTGGATAAATTGGTTAAGGCGTACAGGATGTTTGCCTTCATTGCTTGGGGCACTGAGTATAAAAGTTGGCAAGTCACGTTGCAGCTGTATAAAACATTAGTTAGGCCACATGTGGAGTATTGTGTTGGTAAATAGTTGGAGTCAGTTTCCCAGGGTCGAAAATGTCAACTAGTAGGGGGACGTAAGTTTAAGGTGAGAGGGGAAAGTTTTTATGCAGAAGATCGTAGGTGCGGGGAGGTGATAGAAGCAGGTTGATAGCAGCAAAGTTTTAAGAGGCTTTCAGATAGTTACATGAACAGGCAGGGAAAGGAGGGATGTAGACCATGTGCAGATAGATGGCCTTAATTTAGAATGTCATCATGGTCAGTGCAGACATGTTAGGCTGACGGGCTTGTTCCTTTGCTGTACTGTGTTACATCCTGTGTTTTCCAAAAGGCACAACAGCACTTCTCTAAACATTTATCGAGAAGAGCTTCATAATTATTTGAAATATCTTCCAAAGACATTTCTTCTCATTATCTTTATAAAGCATTCTGTATGCTTTCAAGAAACTCTACTTGGTTAGTTTAATCTGCTGTCCATCTAAGTGTTATTTCTTCACTTGTTTGGTCAAGTTAAAATGACTAATTCTTGTAAAATAACTCAATTCTACAACATAGTTATTAGCTTAAAATATAAATATCAAATGCAGGAATAGATAAAATATATTTGTAAAGGTGCAAATAGGATAAATTGGCTCTGTTGTCTTTGTAGACTTGGCTTGCGTGAAAATTTATCTTTCCAATGTTGATGGGATTGCATACCTGAAGTTAGAATTCAACAACTGTAATAGCTTCTGCAGTTGAATTGTTGAAGGTTGCTTGTACAAAGTTAGACAAAGCAGGTTGACTGGGTTTTGGGAGACAGAGAAGTTTTTCTGTTTCTCACTAATTCTATGGTTACATCACTTGTAGATTGCCTTTGTTCTTTCAGCAGAAGAACTGCTGATTTCTCAAACTCTTTCCTCATTATGCTTTCTTTGGCTGAAAATTCTCTCATTGAATGCATCTGTCAGATGTCTTCCTGAAGAGTTCTGTCTAAAATGGTGGCCCAGAATCTGTCATAAAATTTTTGAAAACGTCCCGTTTAAGAAGACAGATTAGCTAATTTTGCAAAAAATATATAATTACGTAGAAATGACAGAATTGTCAGATTACCATTATAAGATTTGAACTTGTGATTTCTTGTTAGCCGGATAACAGCCATTAGGTTTGCAGGTTTTATATATCAAGGATGTGGGATAAACTGTACTTTTAGTAAATATACTTCACACAGGAATTAACCTCTTCTTGCTTCAAATTCTATAGCTTGAATTTGGTAAGAGCGTTTTTCAGACCATCGTTTGAATGCAGCGAGGGTAATTGTTCCTTTCAAACAGACAAGGCTGAGGAGATCTGAGAAAGGCTTTTAAATTGTGAACGGTTTCACATAAGGAAAGCAAAACGATTTTACAGTGACCAAAGGATCAACAATGAGGGGGCATGAATATAAGGTGGTTGTCAAAAGAAAGAGGGAGTTTTGAATGCACAACCTTATAGAATGGCAGATACAGATTCAATTGTACCTTTCAAAAGGGAAGTGGCTAAATATTTGAGAAAGTAAATACTGCTGGAGGTGAGAAAAGAGCAGGGGAGGATGATGAACCGGATTGCACGTTGATAAAGCCGGCTCAGTCTTGATGGCCGAAGGCCACCTTCTATATTGTAATTTTCTATCATTATCTGATGATCTGAATGCAAAGATGCCATGTCATATATTCAAGCAGTTGACGTACGATGTAATGAATCTGTATTAAGACACCTGCATCAGAAGTCTACACTTAGAGCAAAACAGATGCGCTTTGAATTGTGATGATGCTGTGGCTTTAAGAGGTGTATTTTGTCCTGACTTCTTTTAAGAGAGAAATTGAACAAGATGTGTTGAGCAGTCTGTGGTAAGATAAAGTTAGAACAATAGAAACAGCCTGGATGGGCATGGCCTGCTTTCAGACCATGATTTCTAGTTGTTTTTAGTTTTTTAGCTTTAGGCAGAAGCTGCTGGAATCTTGATGAAGTAGATGCTATTTCTCCCTCTCTCTGTTACAGTCAAAAGCTGGGGGTTCTCTTTCTAGACTGCTGGATTGCATGTGAGACAAAATGTGTTAATGAATTTTGCTTTTTTGGCGAAGTGGTGTGTTAATGGGATGTTACTATATTGGAACGGTTATTTAGTAATAGTTACTGTATCTATTATTTTGTTAAGTTTTCCAATAAAGTTAAGTTATTCTAAATTCTTTTTTCTTTTGTTGTATTTTAATTATAGTGTTTGAATAAATTGTGCTTTGCTTATTGTCGAGTAGTTTCACCAGTCGAAATGCATCTGGAACACAGCACATTACATTTGCCTTAAAAATAAGAAACCGTTAGGGTCTAGGCTACTTTCTTCAAATAGTTTGAGGGGTTTGGTCTGGTCCATAACAAAATAATAGGAATCGAATGTCTGCTTAAAAGAGTGACTGGTGATTCTGAGCTCTCTAGTATACAGTACCCCAAAATGCGAGTTCAGTCATCATAAGTCTTAACATGCTTTTTCTTCTATGCAGGCTTGCTTGTGTACTTTGTGTTTTTCTCTATTTTCTGTTTTTTTCCAAATTCTAACGCGTATAATTTTGGTTTTAAATTGAGAATCTGCCATTAGGATGCCCCAAGAATTGATAATTATGTTATTTGATATATTTGATAATTTCATTCAATGTACTTGTTCATTCTTAGACTTAACTTGGACTTGATGAACAGATTTACACCAGAGAAATATTGTAATCATTTACATAACACTTTCAAATTTGAAATATTAGTTTAAGAAAAGAAATCCAAACTGACTTTTCGTAGAGTCTTATCGTAGAATCATACAGCATATAAATAGAGAAGGGATGGCATGATGGCTCAGCACTTAACCCTACTGTCTCACGGTGCCAGGGACTCGGGATCAATTCCAACCTTGGGCGACTGTCTGTGTGGAGTTTGCATATTCTTCTCATTTATGCATGGGCTTCCTCTGGGTGCTCTGATTTCCTCCCACAGTCCAAAGATGTGCAGGTTAGATGGATTGGCCATGCTAAATTGCCCATCGTGTCTAGGGACATGCAGAGTAGGTGGATTAGCCATAGGAAATGAGGAGTTACAGGGGTTGGATAGGAGGGTGGGTCTGGATGGGATGCTGTTCAGAGGGTCATTGTAGACTCAATCAGCCAAATGGCCTGCTTCCACACTGAAGCTGTTGAGTAAAAAGTTTAATAAACGTGTACATTCATATAATGCTCTTTCTATACTACAGCTTCAGTGGTTTCCATTTCAGTGGGATTGGATCCCAGAGCTTCTGGCTCAAAGATAAGAACATTATCCACTGTACCTGAAAATGTGAAATAAAAGTATATAATTATTTGATTGTTTTAAAAGTATGTGTGTACAAATTGAAACAAAGCTGATTTGTTCTGATGTTATTTTCAGTTTTATAATTTTTATTACAAAATTCTTTGTATGTGCACAGGTAACCTCCCAATGCCCACAATTGCTGTACTTGATGGAGCTGCCTTAGGAGGGGGCCTAGAAATGGCTCTAGCTTGTGACATCCGTGTGGCTGGTAAGAGACAATTCCATTAAATGCTTAGTTAAATCACATGGGAAATAGTTTAAAAGGTTCCTTCCAAGCTTTAGCTAAAATCTCTAATTTTAGATGATGGTGTTGTGGGATAATGCACTTAAGGAGTAAGGTGCCGTGGCAATGTGCACTTCTTTACATGTATACTGTAGTCTGGAAGTATGGTTAGCAGTGGTAGAGACTCTGACTTCCTTTTCATCACATAGCTGACCAAGAATGTTGCACCACCTGTCATTGCTGTGTGTTGGTGGGATTTTAAGGTTGTTACTCAGTTTGCTTACTACATTTATGAATGCATCTTCTTTGATCATGAACTCTTAAGAAGGGATTGGATTCCATAGCTTCTGGCTCAGAGATAAGAACATTATCCACTGCACCTCGAAATGTGAAGTAAAAGTATATAATTATTTGATTTTTCTGTGTGTGTACAAATGCTAATTTTTAAATAATTTAAGCCTGCATCATTAAATCATTTATACACCATTATGGTAGAGATTCTACATTGCAATGTTTATAGTTTCTCTACCACAACTCTGACTCATTCGCAACTCCTCAGATACTGAAGCAGTCCATTGTCCATATGCAACAAGACCTGGATGGCATTCAGGCATTGGCTAATGAGTGACAAGTGACATTTTGAGTCACTGAAGTATTTGGCAGTGACCACCTCCAACAAGAAAGAACCATTTCCTCATGACATTCAACAGCATTGTCATCACCGAATCCCCCATCATCAACATCCTGGGATGAGCATTGACCAGAAACTGTATGCGATCAGCCAAATAAATAATGGCTATGGGAGAAGATCACAGGCTAGAACTCCTGCAGTGAGTGATTCACTTCCTGACTCCGCAAAGCCTGTCCAACAGGCTACAATGCACAACTCAAGAGTATCATGGAATAACTCTTTACTTGCCTGGGTTAGTGTAAGTGCCAATGACAAGAGGCTCAATGCCATCCATGACAAAGACATCCGGCCTAAGCTTTCACTCCCTCAACACACAATCACAGCAGTGTGTTACATCTACAAGATGCACTGCAGCAACTTACCGAGCATTCTTTGACAGCACCTTTGAAACCTGTGGCCTCTATCACTTGGCAGGACAAAGTTGCATTCACGTGGGAATGCCACTCTTGCAAGTTTCCTTCCAATCTGCACAACATTCTGAGGCCATTCCTTGACTGTTGTGACAAAAATGTAGAACTCAGTCTCCACACCAACCATAGAGATAGCCAGGTAATTTTTGAAGATAATGCTGTGTAGATGAAAAGAAAATTCGAGCTTGTAACGAGAAAGAGAAAACGTCTTATGTTCACTTCCCTATTTGCATAAGAAGTTTGGACTGCAAATAAAATTTGTGGAAGAAATGGACATCTTTGAAATGTTGATACCAAGATATAGGCTTAAAATTCCATGTGCGGACCATAAGACACTTAAAAAGTGGCATGATCTGAACTAAAAACAACTGAAGTTTTTCTCCTAATGGGCAAATGGAGAACAACGGAAGGAGGGGTCTGCCTAGTGTTTATTGGATGATGGATGTCACAGAGCATTTGCAGAAGAGTTAGTGGGTATGTGAGGATGGTACACTTAGCAGATTTCCTGTTTAGTGTAGCTACAAGTAGAATAGGGAGTATGCTGTATTTTTGCAACTTTTTTTTAGAATTATGGTGCCATAAACTTTTGTCACCCTTGTTTGATCTCTTTGGGAAAATAGAGCTCCTATTCCTTAGGGGTCTGAACTGTTTCCGTATCATGTTAAATTCTTCGTTGAATATTAAAATCATCATAGTCATACCGGACCATAGGGCTGCTCTGCATTAGAGAGAGAGGGACGGTGGTGGTTTAACCTGAGGACAATACATTTCAGACGAGGGAGTGTCCTTCATGGTAACCTCAGCCAGTGGAGGAATTGAACTGAATTGAATTGTACTGAATTGAGTTGCTATTGGTATCACACTGCATCAGAAACCAGATGAGGAGCTAATTGGACTAATCAACCTTACTTTTGTTGAATAACTTCTACAGGTCTTCTATTGATTTAATGATTGACATTTTATCCCTAGTTTAATGTGGACCATCTTTACCTTTCCAGTTGAATCCACAGTGGATTGCACAAGTAGCTATTTGTCCATAAATCATGACCACATTTCCTACATTGATCAGCTTTATCTAATTTGACAGTGTTCAAGAGGGAGTTAATACTAGCAACAAAAATAGAAGTTGCTGGAAAAGTGCAGCAGGTCTGACAGCATCTGTGAAAAGAAATCAGAGTTAATATTTTGGGTCCAGTGACCCTTCCTCAGAATGGTCCCCAGAGTGGAGAAACTATGCCATGTTCTCCGTAGCCTTCAACACGTCATTGATGATGATGAGCATCTCGCCAAGATCATCCCTACGCCTCCACTTTTTGCCTTCAGACTACTGCCAAACATTAAACAGACCATCGTTTGCAGCAAACTGCTGAGCCTTTAGGACAATATCGACCACTACAACACACGACCCTGCCATGGCGACCTCTGCAAGACATGTCAGATCATCAACATGGATACTACCATCACACATGGGGATACCATCCACCACGTACACGGCAGATACTCTGTGACACAGCCACTGTTGCCTATCTCATGCACTGCAGGCAAGGATGCCCCGAGGCATGGTATATTGGCGAGACCATGCAGACTCTATGACAACGGATGAACGGACACAGTACAACAATCGTCAGACAGGAATGTTCCCTCCCAATTGGGGAACACTTCAGCAGTCAAGGACATTCAGCCTCCGATCTTTGGGTAAGCGTCCTCCAAGGTGGACTTAAAGATACACAACAATGCAGAATCACTGATCAGAAACTGATAGCCAAATTCCGTACCCATGAAGACAGCCTCAACTGTGATCTTGGTTTCATGTTGCATGGCATGTGACCCCACCACACTTCTGTACCTGTACCACCTGATTTTTAATTTTTTGTAATTATCTCCCTGCCTCATTTAATCAGATTATCAGTCATCACTTCGCTTGTAATTCAGCTGTTGACACTTTACTTACACCATCTAACATTCTTGTTCACCTGCAGAGACTTATTGTTCGACACTCCACTCACACTGGTTGTATGATCTTTTGATCTTTCTGCTTATAAATTCTGTGTCTGTCCGCTCATCTCTCACACTTCACTTGATGAAGGGGCTGCTTTCAAATAAACCTGTTAGAGTCACATGTAGGCCAGGCCATGTGAGAACAGAAGATTTTCTTCTCAAAAGGACGTTTTTGAACCGGAAGGATTTTTACAACAATCAATAGTGTGTTAGCCAGAGCCTGCAGAGAGATGGGGGGAGACAGAGAGAGAGAGAGAGAGAGAGAGATAGAGAGACGTTGCTGCTTAGGTAGACATTAGCCAGAGGCTGCAGAAAGATAAAGAGAGAGAGTGGGGTACCAGCTGCCGACATCGCTGAAGGAGGTATTGAATGCAAAGGTGCTGACATGAAGAAAGAAGCAGCTTGTGAGCTAAAAATGAGCTGCGCCCGGATGCTAGTTTGAGTGGATTTAAACCAGTCTGAATTAACTAAGTTCTGCAAAAAGTAAGAAAGATGAGGTAGTTCAAAAACCTTATTTGGACAAGGAGCAATGAGGTAATGCTACCTAAGTCTCTGGTCCAGGGCCAATAAGATAAAATCATGCGATAAGTGGATGAGCCTAAGCCAACGGATAGGAGGCAGGACGACTCGAGTGAGATAAGAGAAGGAATAAAAAGAAGACCCTCAGGGCCTGCAGTCAGCGAAAACTCTGGAGACCAACCATTGCAGAAGCAGACCTTACGTCAAGGACATGTTGATGACATCAAGTGCAGCACCCGTCCAGCATCAGTCCTTGTCAGCAGCAGCAGCTATCCTGGTTAGTTATTAGGTTTTATATTCTGTGACTACTTGGGGAATGTTAGAGGACTCTAGAGGGTGTATAAGTAGCCCAGAGACAGTTGTTAAGCAAAATGAGGATGTGCGGTGGTTCACGGTTTTGATCATAAGTAATGGGTTTTGTCAATCCCACTGGAGAAAGAGTGCCTACATAAATTCACATTTAATTTCCAAGGCCAGCAATATACGTGGACCGCCTGCCACAGGGATTTCATATTTCCCCATCTATATTTCACCAACTCTACGAGAGGAATTAAAACAGTTCTCAAAACCTGAGTGCCTGGTGCAGTTTGTGGACAACTTGCTTCTACAAACTGAAACTAAAGGGGTACATTATCAGCTGCTAAGTGAACTGCTGCAGTTGTTGCATGAATTAGGTCTGAAAGTAAACCCTAAGAAAGCACAGATAATTAAATAGAAAGTGACTTACTTGGGAATGATTCTGTCACCAGGGAAAAGGCAATTTTCCATTTTCATTGGAGGTAGCCACCACAGACACCACCCTCTTGGTGATTTTGTTACAGGAGATGCACGGGAAATTAAGACTTGTAGCATATGCCTCACGCATGCTGTCACTGGTAGAGCAGGGGTACACAGTATAAGAAAAACATCTGTTAGCCGTTTTTTGGGCAGTGTAGCATTTTACCTACATAGTGGGGCTTAACCCATTTACAATACCAACAGAACATACCCCCGTACAGCTACTACTGGACGGAAGGATTAAGGATGGTTCACTCAGCCAAAATAGAATCACTAGATGGACATTGTTGTTACAGGGAAGGAATATCACTATAAAAGGATTAAAAGTTGCCACCATGTTAGCAGACAACTTAGTGTATCAGGGGAGAAAAACAAATGTCAATTGATGATAGCAAAACGTCCCAAGGGCCAATTTGTATCAAAACAAGTGGGAGGGGTAAGATGGAGTCTGAAAGCAGGGAGGCAAAGGAAACAGGAAAGGAAAGACCCCATTTCAAAATTTTTGCGAATGGTTGTTTTGCGGATGGTACAGGAAGGAGAAAGGAAAACTGGGTGTGTGAAGGTACTTGGATATCTTTAAGTAACTCACCATCTCATGCTTTTGTAATGGAAGGTGATGAGAAAGGGATAGATTTATCAAAATGTCACTCAGGAGGGGATCACTGGGCCTACCCTGACGAGGTAACGAGACAGAGACTTACAGATTGTGGCTTCAGTACTAATGAAAACTTTTCATTATGTATTCTGCCTGTTAACAACCAGACTTTTCTACAATATGCCCTGGTGGGGGAAACATATTACATAGCCACAGCAGCCATGAACTATACCAAAGGATGGAGACAGTGCCTTCTGGAAGGACAATGTAGCTATTAATAACGTGACCTCTGATTTGATGATTGGTGGACAAGCGCTGCCCCAATCAATAACCAGGGAGTTGATAAGAGAAAACTTCACAATCCGATGTACAGATACAGACCAAGATGTATGAAGGTTTGTTCCCACTGAGCTACCTCCCATCCCACACCTGACACCAGATTAGACGCGTATAGTGGGAGAGGCAAAAGAGATAAGCCATCAATGGATTGAACACACTAAAATAATTAGAACTCAGGCGGATAAAGCAGAGGAGTTGTTGTGAGATAGGTTCTGGAATTGGGGAACCAGGGTTCAAGTGGGTCAGAGTTTTGTCACATGCTGTTGTAGTAGTGATTCTATGTACATTAGTTATCGTCATAGTCAATATATGTCACCTTAGAAGGTGGAAAAATGAAATTTTATGAAGATTGGAAGTGGCGACTATAATGAAACAGAAGTAACGTTATGCAAACACTGTGAATTAAGTTGTGTACGTTTTTTTATGTGTATGTTTTTATACATATTATAATGACATAACACTGTAGATGTGATACACCCATTTGGGAACACTGACAATCCGAGGAGTGGTCCACAGAAAAGGGACAGAGAGTGATCCTATTATAAGTATCTTTGAATCAAGAGGGGAGGAGATGTTAGCCAGAGGCTGCAGTGAGATAGAGAGAGAGAGAAAGGTACAAGCTGCTGACATCACTGCCTGGGGAGATGTTAACCGGAGGCTGCAGAAATATAGAGTGAGGGGTACCAGCTGCCAACATAGGAAGTACTGAATGCAAAGGTGTTGACATGAAGAAAGAAGCAGCTTGTGAACTAAAAATGACCTGTGCCTAGATGCTAGTTTGAGCTGATTTAAACTGGTTTGAATTAACTAAGTTCTGCAAAAAGTAAGAAAGATGACGTAATGCAAAAACCTTAATTGGACAAGGAGCAATGAGGTAATGCTACCTAAGTCTCTGGTCCAGGGCAAGAAGGTAAAGTCATGTGATAAGCACATGAGCCTGAGCCAAAAGGAAGGAGGCAGCACAACTCGTGAAAGATAAGAGAAAGAAAATAAAAAGAAGACCCTCAGGGCCTGCAGTCAGCGAAGACTCTGTAGAACAACCGTTGCAGAACCAGACCCTACGTCAAGGACGTGGTGATGAGATCGAGTGCAGCACCCCGCTAGCATCAGCCCTTGACAGCAGCAGCAGCTATCCTGATCAGGTATTAGCTTTTATATTCTGTGACTACTGAGGGAATGTCAGAGGACTTCAGTGGGTGTATAAATAGGGCCTAGTTCAGTTTATGGGAAAATATATAAGGTTAAGTTTTGTGATAAAAGCATTTAAGCTACTTGTGTCTTATTTAATACACTAATGAAGATATTTGTGAGGTTATGAGAATTGACTTGTCTCCTCTCTGTATGAGCCGATAACTGGAGCCGGTGTCCTCCGGGCTCCCAACAAGAAGTGGTAGCGTGGTCACCATTAGGTGAGCTTTTTATTCCATATTTTTATTGAATTCAGAGTTCATCACCTGTCATGGTGGAATTTGATCCAAAATGTTACATGGGGTGTTGGATTACTGATCCAGTGGTCTTATCATTATGCCATTGTCTTCCCTGAAAGTGATAGATGGTGAAGGTTTTGATCATTTATACTTAGAGTTCTACCCATGGCCAGGTCAGAGGCTGCCAGACATGGAACTTCTCAGAAAGTGCTTTCTATGATTAACAATTTGAAGTTGCTTCATCTATATTACACTTTACTAACTTTCAGCTGCACTTTGAATTTGTGAAAATTTCAGATCAATACTCCATGTTCAGCCTTCTGTTGATCATTTCATCAAAGCTTTTCATATTTTTAAAATTTGTACTAAATATTTTAATCTAATATTATTTTCTGGATGGAAGTGTAGCAAGATCTTCTTAATTCACAAAATGATTCATCATGAGCTGGCACATGAATGCATTCAAACATGATATAATTCGATACAGTGGCAAGAGTGTTTACTTTTGAGTGGAAAATAGTTTTAATTCAGCTTTATATCAAATGATTAGTTCAGTAAGCATTTATTGCAGTTTTTTTACATTGTAGGAGAAGCCCATACACATAATTATTTATCCATAATTCGTGATCATATTTCTCATTCTAATATTTGGTGTGTGGTTTTTCAGATCCTATCAATTCAATCATTATATCCCTTCAATGTGGAAATAGGCACTTTGGCCTAACAAGCCCACACTGACCCTCAGAGCATCCCACCCAGACCCATTCTGCATAACCCACCTAATCTACACACCCCTGAACACCACACGCAATTTAGCATGGCCAATCCACCTAGCCTGCACATCTTTGGACTGTGAGAGGAAACCGGAGCACCCAGAGAAAACTCACACAGACACGGGGAGAATGTGCAAACTCCACACAGACAGTCGCCCGAGGGTGGAATTGAACCCAGGTCCTGGCACTGTGAGGCAGTGGTGCTAACCACTGAGCCACCGTGCAGGTGGCAATTATGCTAATACAATTGTTGGATGACCTGAAAATGTTGAAAAATGAAGGCTGCACAAGTGAATACTTTTTAAACAATACTAAAAATTATGTAAACCAAATCTCTGATCAGTGTCTATTTCTACTCTTTATTTACAGCTACCTCTGCAAAAATGGGACTTGTTGAAACAAAGTTGGCAATCATTCCAGGTGCAGGTATGGACTCAGACAATTGGCCTTGTTTCCCAGATTATATTCTAACTAAATACATTTGACAAACAGTGTTGAATTGTTCAAATCTTCAGCTGCTGCAATGTTGAATTTCTACTTGTTTGTCTCGTGAATGAACGCAAAGACAACTAGCATACTTGCTTCTAGGTGCTGATAGCAAAACTTATTGCTCATGTTCATTTGAGTATGTTTGAGGTCAGGCATTTCCATTGCAGTATGCAGTGGTGTTAAAGCCACTGGGACAGCAGCAATAATTAGATGTTTAGACTAGCACCTAGAGAGCAGGATAAAACCAATATGAACCGAGGAGGGTGTAGACAATTATTCTTTAAACTGATTGGGACAGGTGGCTTGAAAAGTTGAGGTGAGTGAAGTGTGCCAGCATAATCTGACGAGGAACGATTAGTGCTATCATTTATTAGGGTACATGTAGAAAGAAAGCTAGCTTGGACTGGAGCAAAGGAATAGGGAGAGAGCACCTGTTTCAACTGGAAACAGATCAAACAAGAGAAGAATGCTAGCATAAGCTGAGGAGGGAGGGGAGAAGAACAGCGTCAGTAAGAAATTGTAGGAGAGGGGTTGGAGATGGGTCAAGTTAAGAGTTTGACTTTGTGGTGAGGAGAGCGAAGTACACTTCAATGCTATTGTGACAATGTTATAAAGAATTTTAAACTGATTTATTAAGTGGCTTTATAAATAACACATGGCCATGTTACCTCTTGGATTGGTTTGACCACCTGATCACCAAATTAAATTTGTCCAGACTATTGTAACAACAAAATGTAAATTCTGACCTGAAATTATTCCACAAGAAATTAAAATCTCAACACTTTCTACATTAATTTTCTTGTATAGAATTTTAAGCATACAGATGCATAAACACATACTGAATGTGTTGGTTTTTATAAAAGTAACTACTACATTGAAGTTTCATGCTTCTTAGAGATTTTCTCTAAGTACCAGCTGGGGATAACTTCCAAATCAGTCAGTCATTCATTCAACCATTTGATTTTTATATCTCCAGGTGGAAGATGTGAGAGAGCCTTGCAATCATACAGTCTGTCTGGATTCCCTTAATTTGCAGACCAAAAAGTATTCCCTATTATTGCTCTGCATAAGAATAGAAAGGGGTTCCACTCCATGTGCAGTTGGTCTGTGACCTCAGCATTGAATCATGAAGTGCATGTTGATTACTCTAGCAGTTACCATGGTTTGTTCATTTTTGCCAATCCATTGTGTCACCATTATTTCAATAGCCAGGAAAACTGGATGGAGAGCTGTTGGGGAACTAATACCAACTGAAACGTTGACTGTTTTTGCAATTGAAAGACTGGTGGACAACAGCTGGTAACTGATAGAATGAGGTGCACATTGCCAGCATCGTTTTGATGGGCCAGACAGTAACTTGAAGCAAAGGTTTAAATGTCTTGACAGACAGGAGAATGTTAAATCCAATCTAACTAAGTTGTCAAATTTACTATTGCGTGTTGCACATTTTTGCTCATTAAAAAGGCCTTGCCATAGAACAAGTGAGGGAAGATAGGCAGCACCAACCAGTGATAGAACACAGAGAATAGGATTAGAGTTAGAGTCTCTAACTCAGACAAATGGCATTCCTAACATAAGGAACAGTCATAAGGAAACATGTAAAAAAGAATATTTAGTTAAGTATCTGCATCATGTAATCATAAAAGAATACCCTTGACACAAAGCATTATCTCCTGTGGGCCCAGCTACACACTACTTTTCAGTAGTGTTCAATACGTTTTGTCCTTGTGCTTCCCCTAACTAAAGATATATAATAAATGCATACAAACTGTGTTTCTTTTAAACATTTATCCAACCAGAGGAGGAAGTGAAGTTGGTGTTAGATGATGTCACTACCATCTATTAGATGTTTCTACAACTACATGTGCGAGTTACCTGGACTTGTTTGCCCAGGAATACTCTTACTGTTAGTTGTAAATGTACAATGACTGTGTTATCTGAATGTGACTTTTCTCTGAGATACAACTCCATGTATGACAGCTCCTGCTATTCATTTAGAACATAGAACATAGAATAGTACAGCACAGTACAGGCCCTTCGGCCCACGATGTTGTGCCAAACTTTTACCCTACTCCTAAGGTCTATCTAACCTCCACCCCTACCTTATACTATCATCCATATGCCTATCTAATAGCCGCTTAAGTGCCCCTAATGAGGCCGACTCCACTACCCTCTCCGGCAATGCATTCCACGCCCCTACCGCTCTCTGAATAAAGAACCTACCTCTGACGTCTCCCCTGTATCTACCTCCACTCACTTTAAAACTATGCCCCCTCATAAAAGCTACCTCCACGCTAGGAAAAAGTCTCTGGCTGTCTACTCTATCAATACCTCTGTACACCTCTAGCAAGTCACCTCTCATCCTTCATCGTTCTAAAGAGCAAAGCCCTAGCTCTCTCAACCATTCCTCCTAAGACCTTCCCTCCATTCCAGGCAACATCCCGGTAAATCTCCTCTCCACCTTTTCCAACGCCTCCATATCTTTCCTGTAATGAGGTGACCAGACTGGACACAATACTGCAGATGTGGCCGAACCAGGCTTTTGTATAGCTGGAGCATAACTTCACGGCTCTTGAACTCGATCCCTCTATTAATGAAAGCTAACACACCATACGCCTTCTTAACAACTCTATCCACCTGGGAACTATGAACATGAATTCCAAGATCCCTCTGCTCCTCCACACTGCCAAGAATCTTTCCGTTAACCCTGTATTCTGCTTTCAAGTTTATCCTTCCAAAATGAATCACCTCACACTTTTCAGTGTTAAACTCCATCTGCCACTTCTCAGCCCAGCTCTGCATCCTATCAATGTCCCTTTGTAACCTAGTTCAGCCCTCTGCACTGTCTACAATGCGACCCACCTTCGTATCGTCCGCGAACTTGCTAATCCACCCTTCCACTCCTTCATCCAAATCATTTACAAAAATCACAAATAGAAGAGGACCCAGGACAGATCCTTGTGGTACACCACTCGTAACTGAGCACCATGTTGAATATTTTCCGTCCACTACCACCCTTTGTCTTCTAAGGGTCAGCCAATTCTGAATCCAGTTCGGTGCTGGGCTGTAACTTAGTATGGTCAAAGATGCGCGTGGGTGCAAATTGACTGTCTTCAGTGCTATGGTTGAAGAATTGTATTATCGGGTTGTGCAACATGACAAATAAAGAGAAGATGGACTGTTGTCACTTAGCATTCACAGGCTCTAATAGCACGATTTGTGGCTTTTTTAAAGAAAATTATGGCTGAAATTGGAATCTTAGGCAAAAAAACTTTCACTATAGAGGGACCTAGAATGGCCATGCTTGTCAAGATGATTTGCAGATTATCAAACGGTCTTACAGGATTACACAGTTATAGGTGGTAGCATTATTTACAGCACAGAGGGCAGTCATCGAGTCCATGTATCAAGGGATGGGGGATGCTATCGACAGAAAAGGTCGTATACAAATTGAAACAGTTCCTCTAGAGGGAATTTGGAAGTTTTGGTGAAGTCAGATTGAACTAATAACGTTAACTCTCTTTTCGATGTACAAATGCTGCCAGACCTGCTGTGCATTTCCAGCACTTTCTATCTTTATTTGCCTTAGGTGTTTCCTCTCTGCTTATAGGGATCTAATAATTATCTCTGAGAGTCCTTCTAAGTTCAGGTGCTGTTATAGATAGGGATTAAAGAAGGCGGAAACTCTTGTTCCCATAGATTCTTGATCAGTGGGAGAATCAAGGGTTATGGGGAAAAAGCAGGAAAGTGCACTTAAGGAAAGTTAAATCAGCCTGATACTATTGAATGGCAGAGCATGCTGGAGGGCCTGCATGGCATATTCCTGTTCCTATTTCTTATGGTTGTATGGTCTTCCCTGACTACACTTAGTCAGTATGCTTTTTGAAAAGGAAGAGGTATGTGTTTATTAGCCTCTGAGTTTATGAACAATTTGAATAACCAACAAGCAAACTTCACGCGTTAAACTGGAAAATCTGACTCTCTGTCACTCACTCACTGACTTACACGTATCCCAGAAACATAATTTTAAAAAGTGCACTTTCACAATTTAGAAATTAAAAAAAAAGTTGTAATTCAGATGATTTGCATGGATAACATACTCATCTGGGGTGTCACTTTGATCTTTTGAGGTAGTGTGGCAGCTTTTGAATCCACAGATCAAGTCAAGTGACTGTCAGTGGTCATCTTGTGTAGCCAATTAATGTCCACTTTAACAAGAAAAGTCAGTTCTAGAAGTTTCTGCATTAAGTACCGTTTATATTTTAAAAGCTTTGAATACAATGTACCTTATTGGGAATAATAGGTGCCCTCATGGTCCTTCACCTGTCTCAGAGTCTCCTTCTTTCAGTGTGGATATTGAGGGTCCAGAGCTGCTAGCTCTTTAGGCCTTCTGGAAAGCATTCATCCACTATCGTAACATGACAATGAGAATGAATATCCAATTAGGACAATGTCTGCTGGAAGATTGCTGAATCACTAGCAGCAAGTGAAAGCTGGAGATGCCCTCTTGGCTGAGAGATTTTGGGTACTAAAACTTTATACTGAAACTTGAGCACACTTACACTGTCACTTTTCTACTGCTGCAAAGCAGGAACCTTTTGTCGCAATAGAGAAATTACTTACTCATTTACTTAGCTTTCACCATATAAATCTTTCAGTTATCCGAGCAAGGTTATGATGAACATAAGTTTGCATTCCACAAGGTGTTTAAAATTAATTGTCCCAATGTTTCTGAGGATATATTTTCTATCTGGAAGTAGTGGCTTAATAAGACATTATGATTAATGAGAGGTGAAGCTGGCAATCATGATTACATAATAAATTAGCAAATTTCAAGGAATATAAGAGGTCTGATTGAGAGGGTAAAGTGATATGGGCTGATGTAACAGAAAGTAGCAGTGTACCTTTGTGTTGAAAGCATTGCAACCTGCAAAGCC